TCTTCCAACAATTTTCACGAATATGGCGTGGCTTGTTGTAGTGGTCACACTAGACATGAGGTTTGTCATCCATCCTTTGTTGACTAGCATTTGCATCAACAACAACCAAGGAAGAGTTCTCAATAAGACCTCTAGTAGTATGTTTCCCAAGCATGACCCTCCTGCGACTCTCCTCCCTTCTAACTTAAGAGAATACCTCGCTAATTGGAGGTAGAGGTTTTCTGCCTATTATTCTTCCCCTCACTTCATCATACTCAACATCGAGTCTAGCAAGAAATTTGTAAATTCAAAAGTCTTCCTCTTCTTTCTCATTGTGGTTGCAGTCCTCTGTGGATTTCCATTCATAATCACTGAACATATCAAGATCTTGCCATAGTTGTTTCAGTGTGTTGAAGTATTTGGTGACGTTATCATCTCCTTGCTGGATTTCACCAAGTTTCAAAATCAAGCCATAAACTTGGGACTGATTACCCATATCAGAATACATTTGGTTAACGTTGTCCTAGAGTTCCTTCATCGTTGGATAACTCACAAAAAAATTGGAGCAAATGTCTTCATTCATGGAATTCACAAGCCACGTTATTACCATGGAGTTTTCAGCATCCCAGGTAGCATATGTCAGGTCCTCCTTTGGTAGTGCCTCTTATCTCCAGTCAGATAACCCATTTTCCCCGCGCCCCCAAATATACAAGTGCACAGATTGGGACCAACACACAAAGTTGTCGTCATTCAAGCGGATGGTTGTGATCTAGAGAGAGTGTAATTCGGTATTGGAGGCTTGGGTGGCAGTGGTTTTTGACTAGTTTCCAGAAGAACTAACTTCAGAAGAGGTGTCAGCCATGGTAAACAAAGGAGACGTAGGTGGAATAAGACTTGAAGGTTTTTTTTCTTTTTCTTTTAGAAAGAGTCAAAGATCAAATTCCTTCCTCTGATACCATAGTAAAAAAATAGTATTTTTTAGTAGGAATTTTTTACATTTCTTTTCTTCATCAATAAGCTGTACATGTTTCCTATTTATAGGAGAATTCAAGCCATAAAATTAGGAACTAATTTGCCTAGAAATAATTAGCCTAATTTACAACAATCAATTAGCTTAATTACTAGAAATAATTAGTCTAATTTACATAAACTAATTAGCCTAATTTAAAGGAACAAATCTTCTATTTTCCAACAGATAAATATTTTATTCCATCTTAAACTCTTAATATAACATAGCATATATATTTTTTGTAATATACAGATAATTATTACTGTGTAGATTGTAGAGTCAACTCTCTATGGAAATTAGAAAATTTTTAACTTATTACAATGAAATTTATTCTTATTTATAAATAACTATCATAAGTTAAAACTAAATTTGTTATAACTATATAAAAATTATTCTTGTATAGAGTATTACACTACTATTATAAAGAGATTTTATTGTATTTAATAAAAAATAATTAATAAAAAAAAAAAAAAAGTGAACGAAAAGGATCATAGGATGGTTTTGGACCAGCCCAAAAGCAAATTAGGGTAGATTAAAAAGGGGCCTGTATCAAATTCAAAATTCAAACGGGGAGGTCTATGTTTTATTTTTTGTAACCTTTTATAAAAAAATTATTTCACCGAAGTTAATAAATTAAATAAATTTAGGGTGAGTGAAGCTTGCGGTTGCGGATAAAGATGAAGAAAGCGTTGACGGTGCTCGGGGCCCTAGCGTTAGGGTGGCTTGCAATTGAGATAGCTTTTAAGCCGTTTCTGGACAAGGCTCGAGCCGCCATGGACAAATCAGATCCTGCTCGTGATCCCGACGACGACGTCGTTGAAGACGACAAGAAGTCTTCCTCTTCCTCCTCCGATGCCGATGTCGATTCTTCGGATGAGAAACCTTCCTATGAGAAGCCTTCTGATGCTTAAGGTCATATTTAAATATTATTATATTTCTAGGTATTTGCTTTAACTACTGTTAAGTACAGTTTATGTATTAGAAGTTGAATTTCTACTGTTATGATTATTAGTTTTTCAGTTCAATTTTTATCACCTCGCCATAGCTCAAACCAATTTCAATCAGAAATTATGCATGGTTTTAATTTTAAGAAAACAGAAATCAAAATAAAATGAAGGGAATTCCAACTTCTTAATGAACTTTGTATGTCAGGAGAGCTGAAAGCTTCTTAATTTAACTTAAATTTAAATATCATTAGAAATTGCATTGGTCTCAACTACAGTGAGATGATTTTTATTTAGTGGCAGTTCCAACCACGTATTGGTACGCCACTGCCATCAATTGATATGACGATGTCGTTTTCGATCAGCAACCGCCACGCCACGCCACCACCTCCACTTTGCTCGGTGGACCAATTACCCAAATGCCCCAAAACTCCACCAACCTCCGTCAAAATTCAGTAATAAAAATCTGTTAACCATTTTTACCATCCAATATTTAAAAAATCCTGCTCCATTGTTGTTAGGTCAACTAAAGCTTTCTGTTCTTGTTTACTTTTAGTCACTAAAAATCAAACCATACCAAGCTATTGCTATTTCATTATTTGACCAACTTAATTATTGTTCTAAGGTCACTTTCTTCACTTCATGCCCAAGGAATGTCAATTATTTTTCTTCTAGTTCTAGATGTGCTATGAGTTTTATTTATCCATGTGCTTCTCTTCACCTACACCATTTATAATGGAAAAATATCAGTAGACCATTATTTGGGTAGAAAAAGTCGGTTACTCTTTTTTTTTTTCTTTTTTTTTTTTGGTAATCAGGCGTTCGGGTAAATTTAAGAGTACTTCAATTAATCTCTAAAGTTCATTGAACACCGTACAAACCCAAATGATCAAGTAAGTAATAGGTAATCTCAAGATTTAAACTCAGGACCCCTTGAGTTCAAGTCGTTTACGTTTCCAAATAATTAAAGACGGACGTGAGTGTTTTCAAATAATTAAAGACGAACGTGTCTTAAATTGGTGCATACATGAGAAACAAACCCACAATTGCATTGTACATATATTATTCTTTTTTCCTATGACTTTATATGATCAATGCTAAATGTTTTCTAATAGCATTAAATCTCATTTATTACGACAACATTGCAGTTGTGTATTTTTGTCACTATAAAAACTGAAACAAGAGACAGCTATCCCTTATTCATACTTGTAGCAACCTATTCTTTCTGATCGGCCTCTAACATGCCACGTGTACATTAAAATTGATAGATTTGGACTATAATTGGCTCCTTAATACAATTATATTCTACAGTGACAGCCTGACAGCTAGGGGTGTTAAAAAACGGTTAACCGAACCGGTTAATCGTTTTTTTGAATCGAACCGGTTTTTCAGTTTAAAAAAATTCCCAAACTGAAACCGAACCAGTTTAGAGGGAAAACCGGTTTTTTGGTTAACCGAAAAACCGGTTAACCGCTTTTTTTAAAGCGGTTAATCGGTTTTGAACCGGTTTTCATTTTTTTTTATAAAACTTATTTTTTTTTATTTTTTCCTAAATTAAATTGTAAATATAAATAATACATATCCAAATAAAAATTAGACACTCATATATATCCATTGACCACTACTAAATATTATTATTTTTTATTTAATATATAATATATAATATTATTATTTTTTATTTAATATATAATATTTATTTTTATTTAATATATAATATATATATTTATTTATTTTTTTTGTAAAACCGGTTCAAAAAACCGGTTTCGGTTAACCACTTTTTATTTTTTCCCGAACCGTTAACCGAACCGAAAATTCGGTTTTTTGAATTTTTCGAACTGTAACCGAACCGTTTTTTCGGTTAACCGGTTTTTCGGTTCGGTTCGGTTTTTGTATTTTTTTGAACACCCCTACTGACAGCCAACTATTAGGCCTTCTAAATTTCCAAAAGATGCAATTACAATATTACCCCTTGAGGTTTGATAAAAATAAATAAATATATATACACACACAAATTTTTCTTGTAAATTTGAGAAATTAATGTCATCACTGAATCACTCTCTGTTCTCTAATGGAGATTGAATGTAACGATACAACAGTCTATTACTTTTATGTAAGATAAATGTAACAATATCAAAACGATTGAGTGTTTGATTAAAAATAATAAGGTTTATTAGAAACATTTTGCTTACTCCTTACATTGTTACATTTAATAGAATGAGGCATTACATCATTTAGAGGAGACCAACATTAATTTTATAAAACTTAAGATGGGGCAACATAATAAAACCTTTTCGGGACAATGAAAATAAAGCTCTATCTTTACATGTATTACTCGTCATCTCTTACAACGACCCTTCAAATTATCATCAACTTAAGATGTTCGTTTCGGCAATTGCATTAAAACTTTAAAGTGCATCAATGAGTATTACTCGTCCTCTCTTACAACGACCCTTCAAATTATCATCAACTTAAGATGCTCGTTTCGGCAATTGCATTAAAACTTTAAAGTGCATCAATGAGTATTACTCGTCCTCTCTTACAACGACCCTTCAAATTATCTTATAAAAACTTTTTTATATAAATTAACATGATATTTGATGATAAAACCGATAAATATTAAGTAACCATTTAACTTAAAAACTTAATATTTTTTTAACCAAAGTAAATATTGATTTTGCCACAATACTTTTATAAAGTTTGTAAACCAGAGCCCTATTGTTGCCCATTTACAAAATCAATAGTTGATTATTAAAAATTGATGAAAGATTAAGACTCTAGATTTAAGTGTTTCTTCTTTCTTTCTTTCTTTCTTTCTTGTAATCCTCGAAATTTTGTCAACATCATATGATAAAATAAGATGGTTATTAGATGATGAACAATGAAATGAAACGAACCTAACTTTGATTAGTTTATAAAATTAATGAAAATAGGGTCCACTCCATTTCAATGTACATCCCGTGACTGGAAAATCACTGGACAATAATCACCCCATCAAAAATATCATTTATCAATACGGACATGACACAACACCCTTATTTAGTATATACTATTATACCGTACCTTAAATAAAATAAAACTAATCAAAACCCACCCACAAGACCTTACTTCAAAATCTTGTCTGGAAGTTTCGGATTCTCGCCTTCTGATCCATCTGGGTTCTCTTCTTTTGTTGATTTATGAGGTCAGTTCACTTGGGTTTATCGTTATTTGTTGCTGCTCTGCTGATGGGTTTGGTTTGATTTTGTTCGTTGTTTGATGTTTTGGAATTTGTGTGAGTTTTTGTTGAGTTCTGAATTGGAATCATTTGTTTTTGTTGATTGATCTGTAATGGTGGAGACTTTATTTTGTGAATTTGTGTTGTTTTATTCATTATATTTTAAGAGTTCGCCACTGATGTAGTTTTTTAAGTCTTTGAAACAGCTGGCAGTCTTTGCCTTTGCCGACATGGTACTGGAATTGGAACCTTTTTTCTGTTATCAAACTTTATGTCCATGTCCTAGTTATAGGCTTTTGTAAATCAGTTTGCCTTAAATTGATTCGAACCACTTGAAATTTGACCAGCTGAGGTTCTTTTTTCACTTTTATTTATCAGAGATTCATGTTGGATGAGTGGAAGAATTCTTCTTCTTAGTGTATTGCTTCATCAATGGCTAAAAACCATTTTTAATTCTCTTGAACCATGTCTATATGAATGCCTTCAGTTTGCGTCCCTTGCTACTTAGTTTGGTGCTGTCGATGGTTTAAAATTTACAAATCATTATCGGTGGGAATTGAGCTGAGTTAAGCAAACGTTGCTTCAATGCCCTGTGTTGTGTTAGCTTGAAAGAGTTTGGGACGAGCTCTTCGTGGTATGTTTTAGTTGTTTATCTAAAAGGATTCAGCTTCAATTTGTTCTCTTGAGGAATTTCAATTGTATGATGGTCTTTCCACTTTGATGAGTATGCATGTCTTGGGGAGGAGGTGGTGTCCGAAATGGTGTGGTATGTTTGGTAATTGAGAAACATATCCTTGAAATTAGCCCGCTCAATGGGGTTCTGGTATCTTTTTTTCTCTCATCTGTCACTCGTTGAGATGGAGGAGATGCAGAGTTTTGTTTAATTTAAGAGGGGTTAATGCAGACCTTTCACTAATAACATTAAAATAATATGTTTTTGCTGAATTCATTGTCAGAAGACATGTTTTTGATTGATTAGCGTCCTTGATATTGTTTGTGATTTGCTTTCATTATTTTTATAAATAAGTTCTGTGATTATTGGGAGAGCTTGTGATGAGCTTTTATTGGTATATTATGTATTAACATCATATTTTTCATAGTTATTTTTTTCTCTGTCGATCAGAGGTCAATGGCTATGTCGGTTGCACCAGTTGAGAGTTTGGCATCACTGAGCAGCGATCTCTTTTATGACATACTGAGGCGTCTTGATGGCCCAACTTTGGCCAGTGCAGCATGTTCCTGTGCCGCCTTTTGTTCCATATCAAAAGAGGAGAAATTATGGGAGAACGTATGTTCTTCTATGTGGCCTTCAACCAGCAGGGAGGATGTCAAAAATTTAATATCTTCTATTGGGGGGTTTAGAAAGTTCTATGCAGATTGTTTTCCCCTTATTGTTAACAAGGAGGTTACAGAATACCATTGGAATAAATATCTTGAGTACCCAGAAGAGTGGACTGAAGCGGAATACTATGGTGATATGGATGAATTCGAAAATATTTCACCATCAGATTTTGTTTCTGTTGTAGATATCAGATATAAAGATAAACCAGTATGTTCAAAAGTCCTGTGGGGCATTCCTAATGCTAATGGATTCAACGGTTGGTTCTATAACTGCCCATTCCGGATCGATCTTCTTACCTTTGCAACTAGAGATGATGACTCTGATAGTGAAGTTACTCTTTCGGTTTCTGATGGTCTTCCTCCTATTTCCTCGATGGAAAAAGAAAGGAAAGATGGGAAGCTATGGAAAGAGCTTTGTGATGGACTCCGGCTTAGTTGGATTGTTGTAAACAAAAAGATAAAGCAAGCTGCTAATCTTTCTAGCTGGAGTCCTCTTGGTGGGCAAAGGCATTGGCCGACAGACAAGGATTTCGTGATACGCTTTGGATCTGTTCTTCCCGCCAAAGACATTCTTCCATGTCAAGTTGTGGAATGCATCCTAATTATGAAGTTCAGAGTCATCCGTACTGAAGGAGAGGGTGTTCAAACAACCCTCAAGTTAACAGAGTTGAGCATGCAGTTGGAAGATATGGAAGGTGCTCATGTTAATGGAAGAAACAGTTTGCTCATTCTCAAGGAAGCCCTGAGCTGCTGTCGGAGCAAAAACTACAGTGAAGTTCTGGAGTCGTGTCACTTGTACTCAAAAGTGCAAAGCGAGTTTAAAGAGGAGAAGATGAGGAATGAAAGCAGGTTAGACAGACTCTGTATCTTGAGTGGCATAGCTGCATTCATCTCTTTCTGCTACTACATTTTGTAAATGAATGTGCTCTCTTTTCTTTTTAACACATAGCTGAGAATGGTCTAACAAACTTTTACCATTTTGTACTCTTTTGATGTATAATTCAATTTTGCTTCAACTAATAAAAGTTTTACTTGTTTGACCTGAAAACTTATCAATAAGCTCTGCTGTATATTTTGTTTCATATTAATAATAGTTACAGAAGCTATGGTTTTTCCGGATTAGGTAATGAATGTTTTCTGGATCAATCTATTAAGATTTGGATAAGAAACTCTACTTTGGTGGATCAGTGACCTGGGTATCATTCTAATGCTTGTACATTGTATCATTTAATATCATGTAAAATTACCATCAAACATTGTATTGTATGATTTAGTACTACACGGTTGAACAACTTTTGAAACCCCCGTGTCCCGACCTTAGTGATTAGTATTAGACTATAAAGTTAGAACATTAAAACCAACAATGGGTTGGCTGAGTGGTAAAGGTTTGGGGCTCAGGGGTTTGCTCCCTCTGTGGTCTTATGTTTGAATCACAAAAACGGGTGTTAATATTGTTGGCCACAGGCTGTAGGGCTTGCTATGTTTCGGAAGCTTTGTTCGGGGTCGAGGGACTAGTCAAAATGTACGTAAGCTGACCTGAACACCCTCGGTAACCAAAAAAAAGAAAAAATGTTATAACATTAACTTTATAAGTGTAACATTACTCGGTTTATCTGAGGACTATCTCTTTTGTAATCTTTTCAGGTTCTGTATGATAGTTTTCACTGTTGAGGTAGCCACCATGAAGTAGCAAAGATTACAGTAGATGAGATTATTGCTCCACTATGTGGATAATATCTCTGATGATATTTTGGCTGTTGGCCTGCTGAGCAATTTGGACATAGTGGACTGGCCCAACTATATTACCATCTAAAGGCCCAAGTTTCTGTTTATGAATTCCTTTTGTGACTCTTTTTATAACTAATACTAAAATATAACCCAATATTGTGATACTATTTACCCAAAAGAGAAATTCAAAACACTTTGTTTTCTCAGTTATTAACTATTACATCAAAATATATTTTTTTTATTTTTTTATAATTGCAACTGCAAAATCAACTTTTTAATGTTTAGTTGAATAGGAAATATAATAAAACAATAATTAGAAAAATGTTGTTCAAACAAAGAAAACAAGAATCCCACATAAGGAAAAAAAGAAAAATAAGCACAGTGAAGTCTGTTTGGTAAGTGAGAAAATCAAAATCAGTGTAGAAAGTTGTGAAGATTAGTAATTGGAAGGAAGAAAGCTTTTTTTTGCTGACCAGACACTTTGTTAACATTCCATCTTGTTTTTAATTGAGTTATGAGATGATTACATTACTGGATTTGAGCATTAGAAAATTGTCAGATTGGAACCACGTCTCAAGTGCTCTGACTGAAACTAATTTAGAGTAAACGACTTTTTCCTACCCAAGGTTTGCCTTAATAACACTTTTCCATCTAAAAAATTTCAAAATATAACTTTTTCACCCAAAGTTTATATTTCGTTAATACTCAAAATACACTTCACTTTCTCAGCTGTCATTTGACAAGTTATTAGGAGCCAGGATAAGAGGGTTTTTGTAGAATGGAGACAGGTGGATCGAATGATGGTGAGCAAATGAATATTCGCCGTCGGAATCAGTCGAAAATAAGCTAAGAAGAAGAAACCCTAACTTTGCGGTGGTCGATAATTGACGAGAAATCAAGTGTCAAAGTAAAAGACGTTTTGTAGAAAAGAGACTGAAGGTTTAAATGGTGATGACAGAGAGTATTTTTGCTGTCGGAATCAACTTTGGGTAATAAGAGAATATTAATTTTAGGTGGGAAAATGATATCTTACAACTTTTTTGGTGGGAAAATGTCGTCTACTCGCTAATTTAGTATAATATTTCACTTACGTTAAAAGAATAACTTAAGCCTTTAAATACTAAAAAATAACCCCTTAAATTTAATAATCGTTATCATTACTTGGTCATGTATTCATAATTAACACTACTACTACGAATGTAATCATATAATATATTTGAAAAATCCGATATCCGTACACGTGGCAGCATAATTTGCGGCACTTGACTATATTGATGGCTTTAGCTTTCAAATGTTGCATCAAAATCAGCCAAAAAATAAAAAAAAACGGATCGATCTTCTTACCTTTGCAACTAGAGATGATGACTCTGATAGTGAAGTTACTCTTTCGGTTTCTGATGGTCTTCCTCCTATTTCCTCGATGGAAAAAGAAAGGAAAGATGGGAAGCTATGGAAAGAGCTTTGTGATGGACTCCGGCTTAGTTGGATTGTTGTAAACAAAAAGATAAAGCAAGCTGCTAATCTTTCTAGCTGGAGTCCTCTTGGTGGGCAAAGGCATTGGCCGACAGACAAGGATTTCGTGATACGCTTTGGAGCTGTTCTTCCTGCCAAAGACATTCTTCCATGTCAAGTTGTGGAATGCATCCTAATTATGAAGTTCAGAGTCATCCGTACCGAAGGAGAGGGTGTTCAAACAACCCTCAAGTTAACAGAGTTGAGCATGCAGTTGGAAGATATGGAAGGTGCTCATGTTAATGGAAGAAACAGTTTGCTCATTCTCAAGGAAGCCCTGAGCTGCTGTCGGAGCAAAAACTACAGTGAAGTTCTGGAGTCGTGTCACTTGTACTCAAAAGTGCAAAGCGAGTTAAAAGAGGAGAAGATGAGGAATGAAAGCAGGTTAGACAGACTCTGTATCTTGAGTGGCATAGCTGCATTCATCTCTTTCTGCTACTACATTTTGTAAATGAATGTGCTCTCTTTTCTTTTTAACACATAGCTGAGAATGGTCTAACAAACTTTTACCATTTTGTACTCTTTTGATGTATAATTCAATTTTGCTTCAACTAATAAAAGTTTTACTTGTTTGACCTGAAAACTTATCAATAAGCTCTGCTGTATATTTTGTTTCATATTAATAATAGTTACAGAAGCTATGGTTTTTCCGGATTAGGTAATGAATGTTTTCTGGATCAATCTATTAAGATTTGGATAAGAAACTCTACTTTGGTGGATCAGTGACCTGGGTATCATTCTAATGCTTGTACATTGTATCATTTAATATCATGTAAAATTACCATCAAACATTGTATTGTATGATTTAGTACTACACGGTTGAACAACTTTTGAAACCCCCGTGTCCCGACCTTAGTGATTAGTATTAGACTATAAAGTTAGAACATTAAAACCAACAATGGGTTGGCTGAGTGGTAAAGGTTTGGGGCTCAGGGGTTTGCTCCCTCTGTGGTCTTATGTTTGAATCACAAAAACGGGTGTTAATATTGTTGGCCACAGGCTGTAGGGCTTGCTATGTTTCGGAAGCTTTGTTCGGGGTCGAGGGACTAGTCAAAATGTACGTAAGCTGACCTGAACACCCTCGGTAACCAAAAAAAAGAAAAAATGTTATAACATTAACTTTATAAGTGTAACATTACTCGGTTTATCTGAGGACTATCTCTTTTGTAATCTTTTCAGGTTCTGTATGATAGTTTTCACTGTTGAGGTAGCCACCATGAAGTAGCAAAGATTACAGTAGATGAGATTATTGCTCCACTATGTGGTTAATATCTCTGATGATATTTTGGCTGTTGGCCTGCTGAGCAATTTGGACATAGTGGACTGGCCCAACTATATTACCATCTAAAGGCCCAAGTTTCTGTTTATGAATTCCTTTTGTGACTCTTTTTATAACTAATACTAAAATATAACCCAATATTGTGATACTATTTACCCAAAAAAGAAATTCAAAACACTTTGTTTTCTCAGTTATTAACTATTACATCAAAATATATTTTTTTTATTTTTTTATAATTGCAACTGCAAAATTAACTTTTTAATGTTTAGTTGAATAGGAAATATAATAAAACAATAATTAGAAAAATGTTGTTCAAACAAAGAAAACAAGAATCCCACATAAGGAAAAAAAGAAAAATAAGCACAGTGAAGTCTGTTTGGTAAGTGAGAAAATCAAAATCAGTGTAGAAAGTTGTGAAGATTAGTAATTGGAAGGAAGAAAGCTTTTTTTTGCTGACCAGACACTTTGTTAACATTCCATCTTGTTTTTAATTGAGTTATGAGATGATTACATTACTGGATTTGAGCATTAGAAAATTGTCAGATTGGAACCACGTCTCAAGTGCTCTGACTGAAACTAATTTAGAGTAAACGACTTTTTCCTACCCAAGGTTTGCCTTAATAACACTTTTCCATCTAAAAAATTTCAAAATATAACTTTTTCACCCAAAGTTTATATTTCGTTAATACTCAAAATACACTTCACTTTCTCAGCTGTCATTTGACAAGTTATTAGGAGCCAGGATAAGAGGGTTTTTGTAGAATGGAGACAGGTGGATCGAATGATGGTGAGCAAATGAATATTCGCCGTCGGAATCAGTCGAAAATAAGCTAAGAAGAAGAAACCCTAACTTTGCGGTGGTCGATAATTGACGAGAAATCAGATGCTAAAGTGAGAGGCGTTTTGTAGAGAAGAGACTGAAGGTTTAAATGGTGATGACAGAGAGTATTTTTGCTGTCGGAATCAACTTTGGGTAATAAGAGAATATTAATTTTAGGTGGGAAAATGATATCTTACAACTTTTTTGGTGGGAAAATGTCGTCTACTCGCTAATTTAGTATAATATTTCACTTACGTTAAAAGAATAACTTAAGCCTTTAAATACTAAAAAATAACCCCTTAAATTTAATAATCGTTATCATTACTTGGTCATATATTCATAATTAACACTACTACTAGGAATGTAATCATATAATATATTTGAAAAATCCGATATCCGTACACGTGGCAGCATAATTTGCGGCACTTGACTATATCGATTGCTTTAGCTTTCAAATGTTGCATCAAAATCAAATAATATGAAAAAAAACTCATTTTCAATCGCTGGCTCTCAATCAAAATTGGACGGTGGATGTTTCATGTTTGCATCAGCCTCTCATGTTATTGTCAACACCAAATTTTGTAGTGGGAAGCATGTGGGAAGCACTACAAGTTCGTCTAGTCAAATTGGCCTGATTTTATATTATGTTGACATTTAAAAACACAAAAACAAATACAAAAACTAGACTGAACCTTCACGTTTGGAAGAATTTGTTCATGTCGGTTATAATATAAATGGGAATATGGGATTCAAATTCAATGAAATTCTAAGTGTCATGATGTCAACACGTACATTCCACTGTAAAAACAAAAATCAAATTACATCAAACCGCCAAACCCTTGTAATCTTATCTAATCTAATTCTTTTTTTAATCTTGGTTTTGAGCGATAGAATCATCGAATAAAACTTTGTTGAATGAGAAGATTATCCTCTCTTATAAATTAGTAAGTTTGAACATGTTTATTCAGTGTAAGACGTTAACGGAGAAAATTGATGGTTTTAATTTTTCATTTGTTAGTCAAACACTCAATTCAACTGGAATTAACTTTTATATCATAAGGTCTTGTTGAACAAGAGGATGAATCCTCTGTCTAATCGGTGTAGACTCCAGCAAAGTTCGATCTAAACCTGTCGAATAATCGAAAACTATTCAAACTTTCATTATGGTATGTTGAAGGAGGATAGTGGCGATGTGTGTTGGCAAGTTGGAACAGTTAAAATTAGATTCTACTTTCATACCCTACCTGTAATTAATAATTATTAGAATGTCCCTGTGCAGTATATTTGTCATTGTCAGAGCCCTCTCCGTTTTGCTCCACGACCCAGTTGGTTTTCTTGTTTAACTGTTTTCTATTCTTTTTAGATTCTAAATGCCTCTCTTTTTACCTTCAAATTTTGTTATTCATCATCATCTTCTATTAGATCCAATAAATTCTTACTTTACATTGATTACTTCACTTCACTAACTACACTTTCAATCTCTCTTTCTTCTTCCATTCATCCATCTTTTGAAACTTCCTTCAAAGAAGAAGACAGTTACTTTATGTTGCTTTCAGTAAATTTGTGTACTCTGTTTTCTTCTTATCCTCTAATCACTTCTCTTACTCCTGTCACTCAACTGCTATCTCTTTTCTGACTTCACGGATTTAATGCTTCTCGGGGTTTATTATTTCATTTGTCTTTTTGGTTATCTTGTTCTTCTTCTTCTTTCTCAGCCAACTAACAAAAATCAAACGCAATGATTTTGGATTTCTCAATATAACCCATCATGTTTTTGCCATTAATGCTTTGTATCTGAGTCCCCACCTTTCCATCTTTTCAATTTTTTTTTTTTTTTTTTAATTCTCTTGAGGGTAAAGCAATGAGTAAGAGCACATCTCCACAGGGCGGAGACACAATGACCCACTTGGATTTCTTCAAAAAATTCAAGCGGTTCAATCCTCTTGAGCCTTCTCTTGCCATTCTTGGCTTCATCTTTGTGGCTGCTCTCTTCATTGGCTGTTTCTTTTACTTGGATTACCAGACTGTCACTCGGGAGGCTTCTTGGCTGGGATTAATCGGCCCATTTTCTTCGTCAGAAGTAGCAGCCGCAGCATCCTTTGACAAGGAACGGCCGGGATTTCTTGATGAAGGTGGTGAAGGGTGTGATTTGTTTGATGGTAACTGGGTTTGGGATGATAATTATCCTCTGTATCAAAGCACGGACTGTTTTTTCATTGATGAAGGGTTTCGTTGTTTAGAAAATGGTAGACCTGATAATTTCTTCACCAAGTGGCGTTGGCAGCCTAAAGATTGCAACATGCCCAGGTTTCTTTTTAAAAATCTTTTGTTGTTATATGTTTGGTTTATTTTGGTTGCATAAAAGGGATAGAATCCAGAATTATAAATAGAAAAGGTTAGTCTCAGGCCTTCTGTTTGGTATTTACTTATAGTTTAGGTTAAATTAGGCAAGTCAAGTTCTCTTAGATTTATGTTTTGTTGCTGGTGGTAGAAAAAAAAAAGTTTAATTTTTCTGCAGTTATGTTGAGCTTTCTTTCTGGGGTGATTTCTCATTCTTCTTGTTTTCTTCTGCTGATAGATGTCTTGGTCAATGTCTATAATTACTGCTAATTATTAATATGATTATTTTTCTAGTGTTGATGAAATTTGGTTTCATGTTGTGATAATTTTAATATATTTTTATCAACCTCACGGTTTTTACTATCGGAGCTTTTTAATTTAATTGTTTCGTGATTCTGAATTTTGTTGTCGAGGTATCCGGTTTGGTCATCTCTCTTCTGTCTTGTGAGCAGATTTGATGCAAGGAACATGCTGGAAGAGCTCCGAAATCGCCGACTAGTTTTTGTTGGTGATTCAGTCGGGCGGAACCAGTGGGAGTCCCTGCTTTGCATGCTTGCGTCTGTTGTTTCCAACAAGTCTTCTATCTATGAGGTGAATGGGGAACCAATTACGAAGCACAGAGGGTTTTTGGTGTTCAGGTTCAAGGACTACAACTGCACAGTTGAATACTATAGGGCTCCATTTCTAGTGTTTCAGGGTCGGCCTTCAGCTGGAGCTCCAAAAGAGGTGAAGATGACTTTGAAAGTAGATCAATTGGACTGGACTTCTGGTCAGTGGAGAGATGCAGACATTCTGGTTTTTAACACTGGGCACTGGTGGAATATTGAGAAGACTATAAAACAGTATAAATATTCTATCTCATAACTCTTTTCTTTTGCTTTGTGTTTCTTTCCTCGCCCCCTAAGAGTTGGTGTCTTTTTTATATTAGATGTTTACATTCTGATAATTGCAGCAACAACAATGTGAAAATATCAAGGAATGAATCTCATGACTGTGTGCTTCACTAGTATTTTGAAAGTTGAAGATGGAGGTCAAGTTTGGGGTAGTTAGCTATTTGATCAGTTATAGGATTAAGACCTTAAGTTGGTAGTTTAGGAAGATGAATAAAAATATGGAGCATTCTTTTGTTGGCGTAGATGTGATTTCACATTCTTTGTTACTTTAGACTCTATTTTACCGTAAAATAACATGCATATTTATTTCCATAAAATTACAGCATTACTTGGTCATATATTAATGTCATTTTACCATAATTATATTTGAAATAGAGTACTTGAAATATGGTAATCTCTGACATCAGAGTCTAATTAATATAGGGATAGTTATGAGACTTTGTGGCTTGATGACTGATTAAGGGAAAAGATCAAGAACATGTATCGCTGCATGGTTAAAGTAAGGTGTTATTTTGGTGCTTTGCTGCAGTTGTTTAGAGGTGGTAGTAAATTTCATGAAATAACCATGACTTATACAACTGAAAAACTAAAAGGCCATCAAGGGTGTGAACAAAAACGATATAAGAGGATATGTTTGGTTGTTCGTTCCTCAGAACTTTTAAAAACTGAAAGACAGAAACTGATGGCCCTTGGTGTGCAGGAATTTCTTATCACTTCTTGATGAACGAAGTTAATGTTATTCTTTCTAAAAAAATAAAGTCAATAGATGATACCTGATCTTTTGATTCCTATTATTTGTTAGGGGTTGTTACTTTGAAGAAGGGGCAAAAGTGAATATGGAGATGAGTGTTGAAACTGCATTTCAGAGATCCATTGAGACATTGATTGACTGGATTGGTTGTCAAGTAAATATGAGCAAGACCCAAGTTCTCTTTCGAACTTTTGCTCCGGTGCATTTCAGGTTCACCTCGTCTTCTATTTGCTTATTTATTATAATTTGTCCAGATACATCTGCACTTGAGGTTAAAAATACATTTATGTACAATTACTTGCACGTAAACTTACTCTCCAAGTTATATTTATTCTCCTTCTCGACGATTGTGAGGGTGTGGCAACCTCAATGCAACCCTTGATTCTTTCTTATAAAATTGTTGAGCCAAGTATAAATTGAGTATCAGCTACAACTTCTGTAGTGTAGTATTAGTCTTGATTGTGCATCGAATATGATTATCTTGTTAAGACATGGTTGAGCACTAATACACTAGCTGGATGTAACAGAAACGGCGAGTGGAATTCTGGCGGCAGCTGTCACTTGGAAAAGCTCCCTGACTTGGGGCCATTACCGACTTCACTTGGATCACATTTTGAAATAGTAGCCAGTGTGTTGTTAAAGCACTTGAATGAGTCCCAAGCGAAGAACTTGGATTTATTGAATGTGACAAGCATGTCATCTCGAAGGAAAGATGGCCATGCCTCCCTGTACTATTTAGGACCCAAGATTGGTCCAGCACCTCTCCACCGACAAGACTGCAGCCATTGGTGCTTGCCCGGTGTACCGGATTCATGGAATGAACTTCTTTATGCACTGTTTCTGAAGCGGGAAAGTTTTCATGTTCAAAATTCAACAGAACATACTCAACCTCTTCATTCATGATGTTACAGAACTCTTTTAAGTTTTAGGAAACTAGCACATAGTTGGCGCAAAATTATCTGTAAAGCTTCGGTAATGGCTTCTACCTCACCTCATCCATTGATCAATCAAAGTTTACCCACATAGATTTACCTGAAACAAATCATCGTTGTTAGGATTCGCAAGCGGATTCTAGGCTGCTGGTTCCGAATTCTTGGGATAGTTTAAAGGGGTTGGTCTTGGAGAGTGGAGACATAAACACATTAATTCTGCATACTGTATAATCTTAGGAAAGAGCATGATCAAAGGGATTTTGCCAGTCCTTGATATAGTCATCTTGTAATTTCTATGTACATGGAAAATTCTGGATATATTCAATACAAAATTTTTACTTTTCTTTTCCAGGCATTTGGTACAAACTTTCACTTCAGTGATGATCTTCAAAGCGAGTATAGAGTTTACTTTCCCCCAATCCTTCGTCACTAGTTCCTCATGCTTACCCGGTGACTCTTTCTTCATTGCAACCGAAATCATCTTAATTGAGTCCCACGTGGCTAAGGAACGGTTTGGCACGTGGATTATATTTTTTGGGCCCCTTTTCCTTAAAAGCCGATTTTCAAGGATGGCTTTTATTCAATTATTGTAGGATTCAATTTTTAAATTTATTTATTTATTATTTTCGTCATTACAACTATTTACAAGACATATTTTCAATTTTCTCAAATTCAATTTATTATATTTAACTTGAAAATAATTAAACATCAAAGACAAATAATTAATCTTTAACCACCATGGGATGATTTATTGGTCAACTAAAACTCTTGGGTGTATTACTCAATAGGTTTTGAGTTCGATCCACCTATATTGTTAATAGTGATTTTTCATTGAAGGGATTTACTCGATTGTCAACTTTAAGGTTCTGGAAGATTAGTTAAGGTACATACAAACTGGTCCGGACATCCTCGGTCACCAAAAAAAATAAAAATAAAAATAATTAATTTTATCTAAGAAAAGTGTATTATTACATAGAAGCGATGTTCAAGGAACTTAAGAACAAAAAACTATGAAATGATCTTTCAAACGACGGGAACATGTAGCAAAAGAAAACCTGGATAAACTGGAAAAAAACATTTTATAATTAAAAAATAATTATAAAAATAAAATATATGCATAAATGATGCTTTATCAAAGGATGGATGTAAAAAAAGAATTAAATTTAGGGAGTAAATCATTTTCATCATAAGATGAGAGATAAACTGGAAATAATTTTTCTCTTGATGAGAAAAAAAAATGTCTAAATTTACCAAAGCATTTAATGAACAAGAAAATGAAATTACCATAATACCCTTGAGGGCTTCTTATGTGAATTGAATAGATCAATATGGTTTTAGTAAAATTAAGACATATGAGAGGGTATTCTGATATATTGGAAGGCTCTGGTTATGCCCAAGAAATATTTGAAATCAAAATTATAAAAAACGTAAAAAAATAAAAGAAAATAAAATATGAATGAGAAAACTGTGAAATTTGAAAATGAATCTTTGCAGGTGTTTTACTACATGGAATAAAAAATAAATATGGAAAAATCATGTTCTATAAGGTCATAACGTGCCCAAGGGTATTTTGGTCATTTTGGATTTTTGGACGCTGGACCGTAATTTTTCTGTCCAGATCAGTAGAGATTAGTGTTTTTGAACTAAAATTATTTTTGGGAGATTTTTTGAATTTTAAAAGTATTTTTGCTCTTGGGTTTTTTGAAAAATAGTTTTTTCACACCTGTTAATCCAAAATGTGCTATTAGATACCCCAAATAGGCCTAATTCAAATTAACATTTCGGCTTAATAGGCCTCTTTGGATGCTCTAATACCACCATACAACCCACAAAAAAACTGCCCCATGAAGTGGCTTGGGTCCATCGGCCTCGGAAAAGGGAAAAGAACCTACTCTTGTTTACATTAGCGTTTTGTAGGCCATGGCTATTGGAGCATGCCGAATTTTTGTGTTGGGATAAATAGAACATTTTGTTGTAAGAAGGCTTCCAAAAGAATATGCATGGATTCTTGGACCTTTCGAAAAAAGTTCTCGGCTTATATTCAGATGGTGTCCGAGCTTATTGAGATATTAAGGAGCGGTCATTTTGGACTAAAGAGGAGTCTTGGAACCTGATTTGTTGTTTTGTATCCTAATTGGGCCCTGATTGTAGCATTGGACCTTTTGACAAAAGTAGCCATTAATAATCTGGATCCAAATCGTAATCTAGATAAACATTAATTATCCGAAGCATATTGTGAATAAGTTGTCCTCTAAGGATCTAAATCAAGAAATTTTAGTTGTGAATTGAAATGGTGTTAGTTGATAGCTTAGGTTAGTTTCATTTTGTTCTATTAAATCTATGTGGAAGTGTCGCGGAAGCATTCGTGTGAATAGTGAGCCATTAATAATCTCTTGGACCTGTAGAGAGACACGGAAAGTGAACGTGAAGCACTTGGGGACACCGGTGTAGTGTTGGCCGCAGGCACTGCGACGTTCAAGTTAACAAAGTTGTGATGGAAAATTGAGCAAAAAAGGTAAAAGGGAGGTTTATCGTGTTTGCGGAGTTAAGATGCGACTATCCTCATAGAGTGGTCGGAACTCAACTATACAACGAGGAATGACTGCTAGAGAAAATAAGAACTAGCGGGGGAATCATGTTATGAGTATTCGTGAATGGATATTTGAGAGGACTAGCCTCTGCTTTTATATGTAGCTAAGGAAGGCTAAATCCTTGTAGAATTCCGAGTATTAGTTTCATGGAACTAGGATTACTCAAAAAGGAAGAATTCGTGTAGGACATTGGAACCCTAGGATATCAGAATTTCAATAGGACTCAAGGTCCTTGGGTGATATGATCTATACGGGACTTGGAAGCCGTTGACTAGTAGAATTCGCATAAGGCTTGGAGTCTTGTGTGTGTTAGACTCTCATGAGATTCGAAATCCATCGAGAGTTAAGAATCGCGTGGTACACAAGGTCCTGAATAGCAAGCGCAACCTTTGTTGAGAAGTTTAACTCGTAATTGGGCCTAAGTTGTAGAGACCTGACTCACAAAGCAGCCTAGATCGCTGAGTGGCTTGTCTCTTAGAGTAACCAGCTTGTGGAGTGGTTAGACTACTAGATTGAACCAGCATATTAATTGGATCACTCATGGAGTAGATCTTCTACGTGAGTTGTATTCAACATGCTAGTTATCGACACCAGGAGCGAGGTTTTTGCGTGAGTTATTACCAAGACGCCTGGTAAGGTATGGAATCCCATGTCTACAGGCATTCCGCTCTTGTCTTCGCTGGTGGAGACGTTCACTAGTTGCTTCTGAACTATGTGAGGATGTTGCAATACTCGACGACCTAGATTGCTGGATCCTTGGTGCCGCCATTTGGACAACATTTCGTCGGCAAGGAGCTGGGGTCCCTGGTATCATTGCTGGGACAGTGTCTAGGCGTTGTACCAATGTTTGGAGGCTGGTGGTAAGCATCCCGCGAACGTTCATTATGTGCGGATCTATTTGTGGGACAGTTGGTACACTCTCTAGTCTGGGTGGAGGACGCTCTTCAGAGGTTGCCCTCAAGTGATTGATGGAAGCTTTTTTAGCTTGGCTGGCACAACCTTATTTTTTGAATTGGCCATAGTGGCGCATGTCCTGATTAGTGCCAAATGAGCTAGGAAAATTGAATGAAATTTGCTGGAAAACTTGAAGAGCTCTACGGGAGCCCCTTCTTCTAACTCCAAAATGTGTGTTGGGTATGTGTGTGTGAGTTTTGTTAATTTTTATTTACTCAAATCGAATTGTGATTTTATAATTTTAAATGGATTACAGTATCTTAGTTTGTATGAAGTTGTATGTGTAATGGTAGAGACGAGAATGGATTACTCTTTCTGGCATGTTATTTAACAGCAGATTGAGAGAAAACTGAGAATAGGCGAGGTTAGTCACCATTTCATCGAATGTGGAGGGAGGTTGCCGAGGTTTTTTGATACATGTGGGGTGTGACGTATAAAACCTGATACCTCAGGAGAGGTCTTTGAGGAGAGGTCTTTCATAATAAAGTAATACTAACCTTATAAAGAGGTATACAAAGAGTCAAATTCAGTCCTTGAAATTCATGATTACCTATTTCTCTCTCTTTTTCCCTTCTTTCAAAGGTTGGATTTAACTCTTTGTATAACTCTTTATATATCTCTTTGTAAGGCTAGTATTACTCTTCATAATAACCCTATTTTTTAAATACAAAGCCCTGTTTGTTTCACTTTTAGAATCATTTTTCTCTTATCCATTCGAATTAAAAAACTGAATATGTGTTTATTTACTTATTGGGATTATTATTATGAAAATTAATCCAAATCAAATAAGGTTTTTTCTATTGAAAATGAAAAGAGGGAGGAACTTGTTTTCTATTATCTTGTTTTATTAAACTCAAAACATTTAGATTATTTTTTAACTCCATGTATTTATTAATTTAGCTAAATACCTTCCACAATAAAAATTTAAAAATTAGCTAAAGCATCCTAGCCATCAATCGCTGACGTCGAAATGACGCATGATCGATCGGATCTGGCCGATCATGCGCTAATCACTGGCTAGATATAGTTGTTGACGAAGGCCAGATTATGGTCATAGATTTGACCATTTTCGACCAGATCGACGAACGACTAGTTAGATCCAATAGGTCGTACACCTTTCCGATGATTGTCGACTGTCATCTGGCAATGTTGGTTGGCGGACGACAATGGCTTGGGTGGGTGTTAGTATTTTTGTTAATTTTTAAACTTTTATTGTGGAGAATGCTTAGCTAAATTAACAAATGTAGGGGGTTAAAATAATCTAGAGTGCGTTTGGTTTATTATTTTGGATATGATTTTAAGGATAGTATTGGATAGTTGGATAGGGAAGTATTACGAGATAAAATTTAAAAATTTATGAAAAAACCCCCAAGGTTTGCTAATTTAATAAACACCCTAATATATTAAAATATTGTACAATAACAAAAACACCCCTACCACCCGCACTGCCAGATTTCGGCCACCACTGCTGGAATCTGGCCGAAAAATTGTGTTACGACATAGACCAGTTAGATTTGTAGCCAAATCTAAGGCGGGTTGTGGCCTTCGACGGTCGGAAAATGCCATCTATGGCCGTCGTTGCCTGTCAACGACGGCCAGATCTGGCCATTACCGACTATTTACGGTGGTTGTGTGACTATTGTGCCAGATTCCAGCAACCACCGGTGTTGGTTGCTAGAATCTGCCAAGTATTGTGGGTGGGGGTGTTTTTGTTATTTTTTAAACTTTTTTTCTAGGTGTATTTAACGAAATTAATAAACTTATGGGGTCTAAAAATAATTAAAAAAATAGACTAATATTTTGAGAATAACGTGTCAAACAATATTTGAAGAATATGATTGAGAATATGGATAAAAACAATAAGTCAAACGTAACCTAAATATTTTAAAAAATATTTTTTAAAAATGTACCAAACAATTTTGTTAACATTTTATATAATTTTAAGATATTATACCAAACACATTGTAGAATCCATTCTATTCGATTTAATTCAACCCGATTCAACTTAAAATAATTTTTCAGAATAACATATTTCAAAAAATCTACCGAACACGCCTAAAAAATCTTTTTAAATATTTTAAAAAATTCTTATAAATTCAAGCTGCACGATCCCCTATAAAATGAGAATTTGGATTTGGCGGTAAGGAATGAACATTTGCGTTTAAGCTTCCAGTGCGAATCACATCAATACTATCAAAATTATCATCAAAACATGAAAGTTGAAAACGAGATCAGATTTTATTGATATCTGCCCTCCTCCATCTCGTGAACAGTAAGTTTCTAGCATTGTTTAATTGTATAGATTCCATTTATATAACGATTATATGAATCAATTTACATTTTTAATTCTTATACTGATGTTATCTGTTTATCAGAATGTAATCTGATCACTGATTAATCTTATTTCTCTCGCTTATTTAGTTCTAAGAAGGATAGCTGATGAAATTAAACTGCATTTTGGATTAGTAGAGAAGTAAAGAATACGTAGCCTTGCTTATTATATCAGGTTCATCTCATCCTGGATTTCTTTTTTTCTGATTTCAAGTTTGAGAATTGTTTTATATTTTACTTATTCTGTCTCCATAGCACGTACTGCATTGTATACTTCATTAGTTTTTAGTGTAATTAGTCAGAAACACGTGTTGTTGTTGGTTGTCTATAAATTGGGCGGATTTAGCAACTACGGCGATTAGAAAATTGGTGACCGTTGCCACTTGCAAAGGTTACCTGAGTTTGGCTCATTGTCATAATTCTTGGGCTTATATCTCAGTATAGTCTCTGCTGTGTTACACTTACACCAATCCATCACTGAGTAACAAGTGAAAAACTTTGTTAAATGCCACAAACATGACAAGCCAGAGAATAGATGGTCATGTATGATGGAAAAACTGATACCAGGACTCAGGACTGCATGAACTTGTGCCTGCCTGGTGTCCCTGATTCCTTGAATGAACTTCTTTATGCACTTCTCCTTCAAGCGAGAGTTTGCATGCTTATAAAGTTTAACTAAACCTTCCATATCTTTTTGAATTACACCAACATGAAATGGACTTAGTTATCGGAACAATACCAAATTTTTGGGACAATTTTGAGGTGAAGTTAAAACAGTCTATCCTATTTACGATCCTTGCAATTCTGTATGTATAGAGAAATGTAGAATTTCAGTACAAGTTTCTTTTACCCTTTTTTTACCCTCCCACAGCTCCAAGGATTTACACACATTTTGTTATATCAATTTGTGCAAGCTTTGCTTCTAGAGAGCAAACTCGAGGTCCTTCAACTTTATGTAAGTTTATTGGTTTTGACACTCAGTTTACAGATCTATGATGTGAAAGAAACATCTTATTTTGTTGTACATTCTCTTCTTTCTAAAAACTATTAAAAAAAAAAAAAAAATGGAAAGGTTTTTGCTTTGCCTGTAGGTTCTTAGTCCTTAGCCTGGTTTAACCATGGACCTGATAATCCATTTTGTTGGCTAAAGTGACTATGGAGTCATGACTCTCATTTAATATTATATGTTGTAAAGCAGCTAATGAAACAAGCATTTAATATTATATGCTCTAAAGTTACATGCTGTAAAGTAGCTAAAGAAACAAGAGTGCTCCTAAAGATTCTGTCAATAATCTACAAATAAAAATAAGCTCCAGAGTGGAAATTACTTCTACAAAAGTAATGAGGTTGTTTGTGCCATCTATGTAATATTTACTTCATATAATTAGTTTTTTAATTGATTGTGATCAATGTTGAATTTGGATGTGGATTCAAGTCCATGCATTTCATTAGATTGTAAAAAGAGTGGGAGAATCTAGACATATTACAAATTTATTTACTGATGCCTTAATCTGATACAATTGGTTTTACCATATTTTTGGTGGTTATTTTTTCATTTAAGCGGTATAGTAATAGAGGAACGCTCTGTCCTCTCTCTCACTCTCTGTGTAGCATTGTAACAAACACTTCATGAAATTCTCGCATTCCAGTTATGACTGTGAAATATGGAAGATCAAGGTGCTAATTGGAAACATCTCCTAAGCTTTCAAGATCAACTGCCAGACTCGGGTAATTTTGATACCATAGTAAGTTTATTAATAATTACAACAAAATATCACCTGGCACAACATTCGGAAAGCTGTGTAATGCATTTATTTTCTTTTTCAATATTTTAGCTTGAAGAGGTTTTCAGCAGTGAACTGTTAATGTGCTCAATTCCAGGTTAGTTACTTCTTCTTGTCTGCTAAGATATACAATTTCATTATCAGAATTATCTTAACAAGCTTCAGAAGATAAAGATGTTGATAATTTGGTAAGGCAATGTACAGACATCTATTCTTTTTAATTACTAAAATGTATAGGGTTTCGCTTAAACTTAAGATACATGCCCCACATGAACAAGAAAAGGTGTTAACACTTGATGAATTGATTGCCCCCAACCCACCCACACTTGGTATCTATTGGGTTAATGGATTAGCTACACAGATCTTTTCTAATTGAGATATACATCAATACCTGCTTGATTAGAAAATGGGGTTTGGTTATACATTTATGAAAAATAACATCTATAATACATGTTTTCGAAATTAGCATGTTAACAGGTAGTAGAATTCATTGATCATTCAGAATGGTAGAACTAACAATCATTCGGCTGACGCCTTCATCCATAAAAAGAACAATTGTACTGTTCTAATTATCTGTATTAGGAAAAATTATGTATTCTAAATATCTGCAATTAGATAAAACCAGGAAAGAATGAAAGAAATCCTATTAAGGAAAAGAGAAATCATTTCACTCAAAAGATAAGGTAACAACACAACTTGTCACAAGAATACAAACTTATCAGATCAAGTCCCATCTATTGGGAGCCTGGCCTTTTAATTATCAAAGGGATATTGCTCATACCTAATTGTACAATCATGGAGCACCGAGCGAGCCCCTATTCGGCTTTGACAAGCACTAAACATTGCTGTTTTTGCCGCACCAAGGCAAGTAGTGCAGTCCGAACTTGTGAGATTTTGGTTACAAGCAGCATGACCATAGGCGAAAGCATTAGGATAGGGAGAAATGTTGTAGTAATCGTAGCCTTTGCTTGTTGGTGTTTCAGTCTCTAGTTCTGCAAGAACATAGGCTAAACTTATTGCAAAAGGATCACCTCTTGTGTACACCCCCGAGTTGCAGAGGACACTTGTCACATTTGTATTTGGAACACTTCTCACATTTTTGCATAACGTAAACAAAACAACAATAATCAATGCTAAATTTCGAAGAAAACCCATCTCTGTTTGTGCCTCTTTCTGTAGCTTTTCTCTCTCTCTCTCTCTCTCTCAATTAACAGAAACTAAGTTTTGACTTTTGATGAGTTTTATGCACAATTTTCTCTTTGGTTTATCCATCAATATCATTATGAAGCATGAGTTTTGTCTTTATCAATTGGCAGAACATGGAAATGTTCTTTCTCTCTATTAATTTTTTTGTTAATTAAATTCATGGAAAACCAATTAGGTAGATGTCATTATGTGAATACTTTATGAATAAATAAAACTTGGTTTAATTATGTTAACTGCTGGAACCAACGCTTTGGATAGGTTCCATGCAGTCCGTTGGCTGGACGGCCTATATTTTATTCTTCCCTACTTCAAATCTCATATAGATTTAGCATGGTTGTTGTAACTACGGTTATTATACAGTTACTCCTTTTTTAATCGTGCCATCTTTGGTGCCATCTATGTGGCACATTTCATTACTTAAATGCCAGCAAAGGTCAGCATTTTAAGGGTTTCGAACCATTGTCACTGAACTGTTTGTTGAAATGTGCAAGAGAAGTCAATGATGATTCCTAGGAAAGTGTCAATACATTCTTTAGGTAACTAACTTCATCATTTAGTCCTGGACCTGAATTGATTGGTAAAATGGCCACTACGGCTCCACCAAACTTTAGTTTTTATTTTTTTACTTGGCTTAGAATCATTCCAATTTTACCCTGTTCTGTTTTTGGACTAGGAGTCTTTTAATGGATCCTCTGTTCATTCTATACCCTTCACAATAATTATTCTTCCCAGTCTTTGGGCTGTGAATCCCAATTAATATTACAGAATATTAATCTAATGAAAACAAATTAAAATAACAGAGATTGTTAATCTTAATCTGTATGTGTGTGATACATGATCATAAATTCATAATCACTGAACATTTTAACAATTAGGAATTCAAAATATCGGCCAACTGTATTAGCTACCAATGTAGTGCTATTAGCTTTGTAATTGTAATATTCTTTTATCATTAATTCTCAAGATTAAATCACTTCTTTTTATCGACCTCAACTTTTTTACCATTGATCAACTCCCTTTTCCCTCCTCTACTTCATCTCTTTGCTAATTGATCATCTCACCCATGAAACTTTTTTGTTCTCTCTCTCTCTCTCTTTTTTTTTTTTTTTTTTTTTTTTAACAACTTAAAACATACATGCATGTTCAACAAGCCAAAAATTGGCATATCACATAGGCTTCTCTAAAATCTATACAGTATAACGTGCTTATAGAATAATTGTCTATTAAACATGGAAATGAGCAAGTTCCCCAAGTTCTTCAACCTCCTTTGTTAATTCTTCCACCTTGTCTACCATCACCGTCACTGTGAACAAAAAACTTGCTATTTCAAGTCCATCACCATTCTCCAGTAGTCCTAGTGTAGAAGGAGACATGACCAGACTTAGCTCTTGTCTCATTGACTTCAACTTTGGCATTATTGAAGTAACTGTTTGGCATCTTCTCATTTTCTTCATGCTATCTCCAAGCTCTCTTAGGGTCCATGCAAGTGATGACCCAACTTCTTCACACGGTTCTTTGATTAGTTCTCTCAGAGTTTGTGAGGTCTGATGACACAGTTTGAATGAGATAAGTCCATGAATTGATAATAATTTTTGAGAAAGTTTTCAATAAAGTAATTAATTATTGAATTTGCAGTGGTGAATGGACAGTAACAAATCAAATATATTATCTATACCTGTCTATCAGATTGAAGACATCCTTTAAATGAAAGGATTGTTGCTGCCACATCCCGAAGATTTTCTCCAATCTTAAGGTATCTTGCCCAAGGGGAGGAAAACCCGAATTTTCCATGCCATGGTTCCCATCTTGCAAAATTTACCTGAGCAACAGTAAAAATTTTGAATTAGCTTCTAGTTTACTTTAAATAATTGATGTGACTTTTCAAATGAATATTGATTAAGCATTTATCTTATCATTCTTTCATAAAATGGCTGACAAGAAGAGATAATATACCAGTGACTCATCCTTTGACTTTGAATGGAGCACTGTTTTGCAACGGCTGAAACTAAAACTGGGTTGGTTGTCCTTCTCATTTACTAATCTGAAGTACTCCTCGAAGCATCCTACAATAAATAACATTTAATTAAGTCATTTTAAAATTCTTTTATAGATTTATTAACAAAAATTATTAGATAATTTATGTCGAATCTATAGAAAGAAGCAAGCACATGAGCCATAGTAACCTCAATAAGAAGTTTGGATAAAGTACGAGCTTTAACAATTATATTAATTTCGTCTCTACTATTCATAGCTAAGATTCTACTAGCTGCTGTTGTTGGCTGAGAAGCAACAATATTTTAGACATTAATTGAAGATTAAAGTAGATTCTAACCTATATGGTTATTCTTCGGTGGTTTTTTTTTTTTTTGGGTAGAGAAGTTTTTACCTTCAATAGAACTAGCGAGGTCTTCAAATTTGGATGCTACAGAGTCATGAAGCTCATCACTAGCCCAGATGGGGAAGACTAGTAAGCTTGTGAAAATGCAGACAGAAAAACCCAAAACAATTGTTGTGAGACGTTCACGAGCTAATTGTAGGACCTCCTCAGCTCGTATGCCAGAGACCACGACCAAATTGAAGGTAAGGATGAATATCATTACTCCATAGTCATATCTTTTTTTTATTCTTGGAACCAATCGGGAGTATGTTGCTGCTGCACCTGAAATATTCATGATTTGCAGATTTGTTTTTAGATGCTTGATAATAATGAGAAAGGGAAGAGTGATACATAGTGGTCTTTCTTACTAGTAGGGTGGGTTATTTGACATGTTGGGACTTGTATGCTTAAAATAGAGAAGATGATTCTAGAAAAGATGAACGTTTTTATTTATGTGGTAATAATTTTCTTGAAGCCTGCTCGCCATGTTGAAAGAGGTATAAATTCCTGATCTTGGATTAATCTCTTAACTGTGATAGCATGGATTTGCTCTCTAACTCATAATAGAAAGTTAGAATGATTTCTATCTCTAGACATTAACCATAGATTACCAAATGGCTAGGATAATGGAGTGTGAAGTTGATCAAGAAGAAAAAGTTGGTATCTCTAAGTTCCAGAATTAATGGATACCACTTGGAGAAAAATGTCAATGATGGTAATTAATTGGATGCCACCATTAGTGACTTAAAAAGTTTCTGGTTCCTGGGGCAAAAATAAATTTAAAAAAAAAAATGTATTTTTTTTTCTTTTTCTCGAAAAATAAAATAAATTTAAAGCATTTCAAGTCGAGGAATAAACAGAATGTCTGTGTTAAGTTACTTGTGATTATCTCCAAGAATGAACTAAAAACTTACCAAATACGAATACAGAAGTGCCAACTACAATGGCGTCGCCAACTCCACCAACTTCTTGAGCAAAAGCTGCTGCTAAACATCCCAATCCACCTCCTAATATAGTTCCCAGTCCACGATTTAAGCCTTTGCTTAGTGTCGCACCTGGCATGTTTGATTAAAAAATATGTAACTCTCCACAAGAAAGCAAATTAATTGGTGAATACATGCATGTCAAGCTAGTTTGTACAAGCTTAGAAGTCAGAATAACATCAATAGTATGAACAGGTATATAAACCAACCTGCGAAGAACTCAAAGATGACGACAACAGTCATTATAGCCCACATGGCGTTCTCTCCAACTTGCTTGTACAGAGGATCAAGGAGATAGAGAAGAGAAACCAGAACAAGAGCAATACCAACTTTGATACTATGAATCAGTTTTTTCGTATCATGTTTATTTTTCTTTTCCCGAAGGAAGGAAACTACAAGCAGAAGAGATTCTCGAAACCTCTTCTTCTCTTTGGGAACAGGAGCAACAGCCTCTCCATCAGGAATAGCTATCACAGTTGAGCCCATTGGTAACTAAAGTATTTCTCTCTATTCTTCTCACTTTTGCTCTTGTCTTTGAATTACACTTTCTATTTCAGAGGTTGGTTTGAGAAGTTGAGTTGAGGATTAGCCCACTATATATAACCATCCCTTGACACGTAGAAATTTAGAACTCACACTAAGCTCTAAAGTGGATAATTACCTTTTCATTTCTATTTATCAATAAGATGAAAAGAATTGGAAAATGAAGAACCACATGCTGTTTGTACATTTGTTTTAGTACAAACTTAGTGACCGTAGTGGAACACGCTTGCATGGCATGTGTGTTCTATATTCTAATAAGATAATGGTCTTTTCGCAACAATTCCTTAGAATGACCACTTATTAGTATTTAGTAGACATCGATCATGACTTGATCAGGTTAGTACATAGCATATTTCATAATATCTTCTGCTGTAAATCAATTGCGGTCATTTAATTGGCAACTTGGCGAACTCCACCATTATAAGTCACTATATTCATCCCTTGAAGAGACCATGATCAGACAGATGTATGATAACTTTCACAAGGTTATTTGATTATCTTGTCATGATAATGCGAAAAAATATAATGGTTGGAGTGTCAAATCAATCGTGCTAGAGCTTATAGATCATTTCCTTCGAGAATATTGCAGTTCTTTCTCTCTTGCATATATCAATTTCTTGTATGTAAGCTGATAGTGCCGTTTTCCAAAATAATATGAAAGATCTATGAGCAGATGCATGTAGAATTTTGTAGAGATTATTCATAGGATATTTACTGGTGGTAGTTTGAAACTGTTGATATTAAAATTATTACCTAAAAGATCCGATGAAGCCGAGTCAAAAGAAAAAAAAAAAAAAAATTTAAGTGGAGTATATAAATAATAATATAAAGGACTGGGGGTTGAAAGTTCTGCATATTTTAGTGATGACTGAACGAAAAATGACACCACCTATCCATAGTGGAGAATATTGTGGTTTTTATACCACTTTCTATTGTCTCTTTCATTACGCTGTTGATTATATGCATTAATTTCTTAAGTATTTGTTTAAAATTCTATAGTAGGATTCTGTCAGAAGCTTAACCAAGTAGTTACAGTGCTTTGTTTAATCATGATCAGAAACATCACAATACATATCATTATCCTTGTACATTGATCATGGCTGAGCTAGCCGTTGATCTGATAATATATTTTTAGGATGAACTGATGTGCTTGACTTCACAATATAAAGTTTCCCAGGAAATAATTAATGTCACAAATATACTATTTGGCTGCAACCATTAATATTGGTACTGTACTTGCAGCACAAGAATGCAATATTTCTGTACTTATAATATCTTATCTTTTCAGGGTATCCTTCGTTCAGCACCTGAGATTGACTAGTCTAATATCTTTATATATATGTGCGAATGGCTTGGTTCCATGTTTGCATCACTGAAGGTTCGACCGGGAAGTCTTGGGTTATTGGAATTTTTTGTCCGTTTGTTTAATTATTTTTCCATATCCTATTAATATTATTTTCAAAATATACATTTATTTTCATATTCTGAAAATATTATTATATTTTATTTTAATATCTTTAAATCTCATAATTTTATTAATTTAACTAAACACCCCTTAAAAAAAATTTAGAAATTAACAAAAACACTCCCATCCACTCACATTTATCAAATTCTGGCCACCACCGTCGAAAGATGATCAAAATCTAGTATAATGACACACTACCGACTGGATCTGGTCGATAGTGTATTGATCTATCATTTACCAACCAGCTTCACTGTGGATCTGGTCAAAAAAGGCCAAACTTTGGCCGTAATTGGTCTTCAACGATAGCCAAGACATGGCCGTCGTTGACAATCAAACACGGCCAGATCTAGCCTTTTCCGGCTAAATTCACCCTAGATTTAACCAGAAAAGACCAAACTTTGGCCGTAGCTGGTCTTTAACGACAGCCAAGACATGGCCGTCGTTGACAATCAAACACGGCCTTTTTCTGCCAGATCCACGGTAGATTTGGCTAGAAAAGGCCATCTCGTCACACGACCAGCTAGCTAGATCCAGTCGATCATGCGCCATAACGTCAGATTTCAGCCAGATTCTAACGATGGTGACCGGAATCTGGCAACTGTGTATGGTGGAGATGTTTTTGTCATTTTATAAAAAAATTATATATTAGGGTATTTAGTTAAATCAGCAAATCTAAGAGATTTTTTTTATTAATTTTTAAATTTTACCTCATAATAATTATTCAACCCTATCTGTTAATAATATTTCAAAAATACTCCTAAAAATAATAAAACAAACATACCTTAATTTCTGGACTTTTGTAAGTTAATGTACAGTGCGACAAGAAGGGATCTGATATCCCAATTGGTTTAACAGGTGCACGCATACTCTTAAATTAAAATATTCCGTTAAAATAAGTTTGCACTATTGGTTACTTTTGTTGTGTACGAAAATGTACCTTCTATGTGATTTCAGAGCACTAAGTTATGAAAAGGGCAAAGTACACTATTTTACGCATTGAAGGTGGCCAGAAGATTAGGCTATAGAGAAGAAGAGAGGTGATATATTATTATTATTCTTTATTGGAGATTTACTTTATGCTTAATATGTCATTACATGAACTAGTCAATAATTGCATTTTTTTTTTTTATATATTTATGTTTTTAAAATTTTAATGGTTTCCAGTTTGTCAAAGTGTTCACTGTGGTTTTGGGGCACACACACATGTTGACTCAACTCACAAAATTATATAACTGTATTAATTAGAAAACACTTTGTACAGTTCATTTCCTATTTTTCAAGATTAGGGTTTTGATTACTTTGAAGCCTTGATCAGGGGCACTAAGGGACTAATTGGTTAGGCTTTAGGCTAAGTGTTGCATGAGTGCATCTCAGTTTCATTTTCCACTTTAGGAGCGTATACGAATTCATTTGTTTTGTCTGCCAAGAACCAGGTTGAGTGAAGTTCAAATAAGAGGCCATTTATGCTTGTTTAAAGTATTGTGATATATCACTTCATTTGTACACGTTAAGAGCATTTTTATTGTAACATCCCATACCCATCTTGCCAATAATCATCTCATTTGGTGCTTAGATGACATTTTTCCAAACAAGTCAATAGTACCAATTGGGTTATTTCTCCTAACTCTATTTGGTGAGGTGGATAATAGATAAATCCGAGTCCACAAAATAAGTTGGATAAGATAATACTTGTTGTGTCTAGTTTCTTGAGGGTCAGATTTGTGCCATGCATCCAAAAGGTATATCAAAGCCTAACAGTCAGGATCCTCCCATGTGTCGTCTCATCAATGTTTGCCTTCCCTCACAAGGTGATTACTATTACAAGCATGGGTTAAACTATCATTAGCATGGCCTGATCTGTCACCAGTATAAAAATTACTGACTCAAATCCTAATTATGGGGATTATGCATGCAAGCAACCTCGTAACATCCACTCTCAACCACTGTTAGACAAACCAAGTATAAAAGAGCCTACAGCNTTGGTTCCATGTTTGCATCACTGAAGGTTCGACCGGGAAGTCTTGGGTTATTGGAATTTTTTGTCCGTTTGTTTAATTATTTTTCCATATCCTATTAATATTATTTTCAAAATATACATTTATTTTCATATTCTGAAAATATTATTATATTTTATTTTAATATCTTTAAATCTCATAATTTTATTAATTTAACTAAACACCCCTTAAAAAAAATTTAGAAATTAACAAAAACACTCCCATCCACTCACATTTATCAAATTCTGGCCACCACCGTCGAAAGATGATCAAAATCTAGTATAATGACACACTACCGACTGGATCTGGTCGATAGTGTATTGATCTATCATTTACCAACCAGCTTCACTGTGGATCTGGTCAAAAAAGGCCAAACTTTGGCCGTAATTGGTCTTCAACGATAGCCAAGACATGGCCGTCGTTGACAATCAAACACGGCCAGATCTAGCCTTTTCCGGCTAAATTCACCCTAGATTTAACCAGAAAAGACCAAACTTTGGCCGTAGCTGGTCTTTAACGACAGCCAAGACATGGCCGTCGTTGACAATCAAACACGGCCTTTTTCTGCCAGATCCACGGTAGATTTGGCTAGAAAAGGCCATCTCGTCACACGACCAGCTAGCTAGATCCAGTCGATCATGCGCCATAACGTCAGATTTCAGCCAGATTCTAACGATGGTGACCGGAATCTGGCAACTGTGTATGGTGGAGATGTTTTTGTCATTTTATAAAAAAATTATATATTAGGGTATTTAGTTAAATCAGCAAATCTAAGAGATTTTTTTTATTAATTTTTAAATTTTACCTCATAATAATTATTCAACCCTATCTGTTAATAATATTTCAAAAATACTCCTAAAAATAATAAAACAAACATACCTTAATTTCTGGACTTTTGTAAGTTAATGTACAGTGCGACAAGAAGGGATCTGATATCCCAATTGGTTTAACAGGTGCACGCATACTCTTAAATTAAAATATTCCGTTAAAATAAGTTTGCACTATTGGTTACTTTTGTTGTGTACGAAAATGTACCTTCTATGTGATTTCAGAGCACTAAGTTATGAAAAGGGCAAAGTACACTATTTTACGCATTGAAGGTGGCCAGAAGATTAGGCTATAGAGAAGAAGAGAGGTGATATATTATTATTATTCTTTATTGGAGATTTACTTTATGCTTAATATGTCATTACATGAACTAGTTAATAATTGCATTTTTTTTTTTTATATATTTATGTTTTTAAAATTTTAATGGTTTCCCGTTTGTCAAAATGTTCATTGTGGTTTTGGGGCACACACACATGTTGACTCAACTCACAAAATTACAAAACTGTATTAATTAGAAAACACTTTGTACAGTTCATTTCCTATTTTTCAAGATTAGGGTTTTGATTACTTTGAAGCCTTGATCAGGGGCACTAAGGGACTAATTGGTTAGGCTTTAGGCTAAGTGTTGCATGAGTGCATCTCAGTTTCATTTGCCACTTTAGGAGTTTGTTTTGTCTGCCAAGAACCAGGTTGAGTGAAGTTCAAATAAGAGGTCATTTATGCTTGTTTAAAGTATTGTGATATATCACTTCATTTGTACA